TCTCTCTCTCTCTCTCTCTTCCTGTATATAACTATGTAGACAGGTGGCATACACATTGGTTCGTCAAGTTTGGCGTGCAGGCGGAAGTGATAGAACGATAGCGGTGCGTAAGTAAGCATACCGATAACTCCTTGTTGCCGTTTTCGTCATCGTCGTTACACTGATGCTATTCCTTCTCTTCCCTTCATCTTTCCTCTTCCTATCTATCGTCCTCGCCCCACTCTGCGAACCCTTCCCCGTCCTCCTCAGTCTTTTTTGGCGGAGCCTCCTCCTGGGAGAGCCTCTTGGGAGCCTCACGAAAGCTTTTTGGGGGCTTCCCGGGTGCCTCTCGAGGCGTCCTGGACGCTTTTTTTGGGCCTCTGGGGGCTTTCTCGTGTCACTTTGCTGCGAAGCATGTTCTTCTCAACGACCGTGTCGCCATTTGGAGTGCTTCCAGGGGCGTCTTGACGCTGTGTTGGGCCGTCATGGGGCTCTCTTTGGGCCATCTTTGGGCTCCGTCGGGCTGTCTTGGGGCTGTCTTCAGTTGTCTGGAAGCCCTTTGTAGATAGTTTTTTTTTGTTGTCGCGAGAGATTGTACGAACTTCCTTGCCCTCTACCAGGCCGTCTCGGACGTCCCGAAAACAAGAGCCAATCATCTACAATTCACGCAACAACTTCAGTGCGTCAATGTTTTTTTTGCGTTTCGAGCGTCTCTTGGGAGTGCTCTTTGGGCCGTCTTCGGGCGTCTGGTGGGTGTGGGGCCGCTTGGGGCTCACGCGACGCCGCTTGTCCACCCTCCTGACCAGTTTGGACCCGCTGGCTAGGCCCGGCAGTGACGTCCAGGATGCCTGGAAGTCTCGGGGCACCCTCAGCGGGGGCGTCCGGGGTCCCCAGAGCCAGGGATCCGGAGGGTCTGCTCTTTTCAGGGGAGGGCTTTTTCCCAGGTTTTCCAATTAGTAAACATGCACGAGTTGGGATGCATGCACCTATATATATATATATATGTATACACACACGTCTATATAAATGTATACCGATGGGAGTGCAGAGCTATGCATCTATACATGAGCCTGTCTATATACACATATGTACATATATGTAGTACCGCCGATCGATGGACGGGGCCACATGCGAACCCTGCCCCTACCCCCCACGATTTCTGAGGGGAGCTCCCGAGCGAGGTAAACCCCACCCTCCCCCTCAGAAATCGTGGGGGGTAAGGGTAGGGTTCGCATGTGGCCCCCTAATTGAGAGCGAGACCGATCTAGACATTGATCGCGAGGAAGATTGATAGTTATACCCATGTGCAATGGGACTGACATATCAGTGTTTGCCAGCGTGGGCCTCAAACAGCGTGCTTCTAGCCAACAGGTTGTGCAGTTTCATGTGGTGCAATTTGTGCTGTGCAGCCTGTGTTGCGCAACCTATGTCGTGCAGTAGAGGTGGCGCGACCCATGAGGTGCAATATGTTCTGTGCAGTCTATGTGGAGCAATATATGTGGTGCAGTCAATGTGGTGCACTGTATGTTGTGCAGAATCTGGTGTGCCATCTTTGTTGTGCACTCTATGTGGTGCGATCTATGTGGTGAAATCTATGTGAAGAAGTTCATGTGTCGCAATACATGTTGCGGAATGTGGTGCAAATTATGCCGCACAATATATGTGTATATGCATGTATGGTGCAATGTAGTTGGTGCCGCACATGTTGTGCAATCTTTGTGAAGCAATATGTGTGATGCGAGCTATGTGGGGCAACTTTCGCGAAGCAACCCATGTTGTGCAATCTGTGTCGTGCAATATATGTGGGGCAATCTATGCTTTGCAGTACAGGAAGTGTAATCAGTGTGGTGCAATATAGGTTGTGCAGTATATCTCGAACAATATCTGTGGTGCAAGCTATCTTGTACAATGCAGGTGGTACCATCTATGATGTGAGTGATCAAGAAGGGCGCTGCAGGCGTTTTTTTGTTTTTGTTTTTGTTTTTCCGTGCACTCTATGTGGTGCAATCCACCGGCGGAGACAGGTGGCGACGAGGCGGCGGCGGGGCGGCGACGGCGACGACATAGCCGCCAGACCGCCCAACCGGCCCAGACGATGGGCGGCGACGAGGCGGCGACGGAGCGGCGACGGCGACGACATGGCTTCCAGACCGCCAGACTGGCCCAGACGACGGGCGACGAGGCGGCGACGGGGCGGCGACGGCGGCGACATAGCCGCCAGACCGCCCAACCGGCCCAGTTCCTCAGAACAGAAGTAAGAGCTCATAAGTGCAAGCACTGCTTGGGGAATATCTTTATGTATGTATGTATATATATATGTACATATATGTATATGTGTACAGATACATATATTTACATATATTTACATATATATATAGATGTTTTTTGTTCGATACAGATGGAGGTTGATATCGGAAGATCGTTAGATATATGTTCCGTGGTTGTCCCGTCGTTGTTTGGTGATTTCCCCGTCCATAGGTAGATAGTAAGATCGATGTAGAGGTAGTGAGGTTGATTCATAGGGAAACATAAGGATCAAGAGTTAGAGATATTGATGATATCAATGATGATTGTGATGATGCGGATGATGATGATGATGATGATGATGATGATGATGATGATGATGATGATGATGATGATGATGATGATGATGATGATGATGATGATGATGAGGATGAGGATGAGGATGAGGATGATGATGATGATGATGATGATGATGATGATGATGATGATGATGATGATGATGATGATGATGATGATGATGATGATGAGGATGAGGATGAGGATGAGGATGACGATTATGCTGATGCCGATGCTGATGATGCTGATTGTAGTGGCCTCCGGCCTGTGCCGCCGATCCGGGGCGCTTTTGATGCTATTGTTAGGTCTCTCGGGGCCTCATGGGTACACTTTTGAGGCATCCTGGGGGCCGTTGTGGGGACCCTCGGGGCCTCGTTTGGGCCTCCTGGGGGCCTCTTCTGGGCCTCTTGGGTCCTGCTAGGGGCCTCTCGGGGGCCCCTCGGGACCTCTTGGGGCCCTCTTGGGGGCCTCTTGGGGGCCTCTTGGGGCCTCTTGGGGGCTTCTGGAGGCCGAGGGCTCGAAATTTCCGTTCGGGTTCCCTGTCTGGCTCCCCTGTAGGAGCCGTCTTGAGAGCTTATGGGGCCGTCTTGGGGGTTTCTTGGGCAGTCTTGGGGCTCTCTTGGGCAGTCTTGGGGCTCTTGGGCCGTCTTGGGGCGATCTTGGGGGCCTCTGGGGTCGTCTTGGAGCGTCGGGAAACCGAAAAGGTGGGGACGCCAGAATCCTTCAAAAACCAGCGTAAAATTTATGACTTTGGACTCTGAGGGTCCACTTCTGAGGGCTCTTGGAGGCTTCTTGGAGCGTCTCGTCTGCCTCTTGGGCTGTCTGGAGGTCATCTTCGGCGTCTTGGAGCGCTCCTTGGGCGTCTCGGGGTCTTCTG